AATTGTTATTGTTGTTGATGTTGTTGATGTTGTTGTTGTTGTACTAGTTGCAGTTGATATTGATGCGTTCGCTGCTGTAGCGGCATTTGCGTCTGGCAATGCCCGTAAGCTATGAACGCTGCTGGCAATGCCGAGAGCAACAGCAGCCAGCCAGCGTCCAGCCTGCGTCAGAGTCAGAGTCAGAAAGCTTGGCTTTGCTTTTGCTGCTGATGTTGTTGTTGTTGTCGTTGTTGTTGTTACTTTTGTTTATATTAATTAATTCTCTAATATAAGCCTATGCATGTATACTTGAGTTATTGCAGTCGCTTTGTTGTTGTAAATGGACGTTTCTTGTGTGTGTGTGTGTGTGTGTGTGTCTCTCTATTTTGATATGTTGGCATGTGTAAAACGCGCTTGTTGTTGTTGCTGCTGCTGCTGTTATTTGTGCCGTTTCTTGCTGCTGCTCTCCTTTCGATAGTTTATGCACAATTTACATACGCACACACACGCTTATTGTTGTCTCCTTTGGCTGTTTGCTGCTTTCTTAATTAGTGTTTTTTTTCTCCTCTTTTAGTTATTTCCATTTTGCTTTGTGACTCTGCCAGTCAGCTGTCTGTCATTGACATGTGCGCGCGCTCTCACGACGTCCAGCAGGCGCGCTCTCTTCCGGCATTCGCTCTCGCTGCTGCCGCTGCTCTTCCCTTCGCCAAGTCTCTCGCAAACGCCAATACTCAGCGTGGGGTGGCAGTCACTCACTCACACGCACACAGACGCACATGGAAGCGCACATGCACGTTGTAAATGTGAATGGCCGCTTTGTGTGTGTTTGTAGGTTTTTGTATATTTTTGCGCAACACAATGCCAAATTCGGCCTAAAATATATTATATTTGGTACATTTGGTTGCCTTCGGGCCCGCACACACAACACACATACTTCGATTCAAACACGCACACATACACTATTGCAAGCTTTTATTTAATTGCCAGATTTGATCATTTCTACGCACTTCAGGCAAACACAATATATACATATATATTTTTTTTTTAATTTTGCTTTTTGTTGTTCTTGTCTTGGAGTTGCCACATAGTTTTGCACGGTTATGTATTTGGGCCGTTTGTTGCCACCCCGCGCGCCTTTTACTATGCACCGAATATTTCTTCTTTATTTTTTTTTACTCTGCACCAAACTTGTCTTTGTTTATTGTTGTTGCTGCTGGCTTTGGAAGTGCGTTAACTGGTTAATTCGCTTTGTTGCAGCCGCTCGAGTAAAATTGTTTAAACAAATGGAACGGAAAATAATAAAACGCAGCCTGTGCAGCAGCGTCGGAGCAGCTACAAGTCTTCTTTTGCACAACTCTTGCGCTGTGCTCTATGTTACGCTGCTTTAGTGGGCCGCTTGCTTTCGTACACTCGTTCGTGCTCGTTCGCGTTCTCTCAGTCAGTCAGTCAGTCAGCTTTTTTTTCGGTGGTTGTTTCACTTTTGGCTTTCTTTTGATTCTTGACGACGGCTCCGCTCCTCTCCCCTTCTCGCAACTCCTGTCCGTTCTGATATCCTGTACACAGCTGGCAACTACAAAGTTGCAGCCCAGGACTCTCGCTGCAGTTGCTCGACAAAACGTTCCTTGATTGCAGTCATAAAACACAATTGCAAAAAAACACGCACACGCATACGCACACACACACAAATAAAGAGTCACAGGCGCTCTCTCGCTCGCAGTACGCTCTCTGTCGCCCTCTCGCTCTCTTTGGCAGCTGCTGTCAAGCTTGAGGCAAAGCAACCACCGAAATTGCGCTTACAGTTTTAGTGGCACTGTGCAGCCGCACGGTTTGACATGCAGTTGGCATCTTTGTTTTGTTTGCCATACGCACGCACGCGCGCGCGTTTCATTATGTTTTGGTCGCATTGCAAGCGTTTTGCAACACTGAGCAATGTGTGCCATGTGCGCCTTTGCGTATGCAACAAAAATCGAAAGGACTTTAAAGGCATTTTAAAGACTGCGCTCGCCGAGCCGCAAACAGGCCGCCCGCCCCGTAAGCAATCAAGCTGCCGCACTTCCTTCAGGCAAGGGACATGCACTTAATTGCCCAGCGTGGGGGCAAATTTAAGTGTGTTTATGTTTATGTTTTTACTTTTCAATGCATAATTTATGTGATTGTCATGAGACAAAGAGGTGGAAATGCAATTAGGAATGGAGCGAAGGGTGCACAGGTAACAGTTGGCTAAGTAAGATTTTAATACGCTCTGCTGGGCATATGGGTCTACGCAGAGAGAGAGAGAGAGAGAGAGAGAGAGAGAGAGAGAGAAAGGGCACGTTGTTCTATCATAGCATATATAAGACTAATGCCATTTTATGTAAGTAGCTAATGAATTGAACGACTTCTGATTATAATATATAATACTTTGAAAACATTAGCTGAACATTCAGCTTAAAGGAATATTATTTTTGCATCAAGGTACTTCTAAAGGGCAAGTCTGTTTCCAACATCTTCAAAGCTTAAATATTGGCTGTAGGCAATTTTTGTTTTCTTAAATTTAAGATAATTCAGAACTAAATATAATTTTTGTTAGCTTTGCTAGCTTGGAATTTAACTTGTTTCCAAGATATCTTGACATATCTTCTAACATATCTGCAAAATCGTATTCAATATCATAATCAGAAGAATCGTTCAAAGATCAATTGTATAAGACCATACATTTATGGTGTGTGTAGAGTCCTAATATCTGATAAAATTTCTTATCTTTATAATATCTGGAATCGTAGTCTCTTAAAGTAAGTTCTTCTTCTTAAAAGGCCTGCAAATCGTGCGTGTTGTACAAAAGTCTTTTTCAATTCTCGTACGATTTATCTAATTTATTTAGCTAATTTTCAGAAACACAAATGTATTCACTGCAAATCGCAAAATCCAGCAACACAAGCGGAAAATGGGTGGAAGTTACTCAGTCAGCCAAGACAAATGAAATATATAGATCAAATATTACTCAGCATTTAAATCGTACAACATAGGCATGTTATTTTCTTGTGCCCTTGCATCGTGCTCTGGTTTATTTGAAGACGTCCAAGTTAATTGTGAATTTGATTTCGAGCAGCGATTCGCTTCCACTCGTTAACAGCCAGTCGTGCCACAGTCGTGGGTCATGGCTAATAGTTTATAATGGGTGAACCAGCTTAAAGGACCGACACGGGGCTGTCTAATTGAAGCATAAGTAATGAGCCTGTTAGCGACTTGTGAACTGCTGTTTAAGACGAGTGCTAGCAGCTGCTGAGAGCCCAACAAAGGGTTGCAACCCCTGGGCTCGAGTCGTAGCTAGTTAACATCCACGTGTTTGTACATGAATTTAATCTCGGCGCAAACAAAGTAACAAGAATTCAATTTGTCACAGTGGTTGGCAGCGGTAACGGTGAAGCTAAAGCCAAAGGGGCCCGGTCGAGAGATAAAACTGCCTGGAACTTGGAAAATATTTGCATTTCGCCTGCTTTTTGGGCAACAGGCATGGGGATGGGCTGTTTTTGCGTAGGTAAAGCCAAAAGCCCCTCGGGACTTGTTAATGCAAACAATGCGCATTTGATATTGAAAACGCGTCGAGTCGAGTTGAGTCGAGTTGAGGGGTGGAGTGGGGGCTTGGGCGCTTTTTGCTTGCATTCGGGGTAGTTTTGTGTAGTCTGCTTTTGAGCAGGGGCTAGGTGAAAAGGGGTGTGGGGGGGTGGTGAAGGAGACCAAAGCCCAGCATCACATGCAACCACACGAACTTCAATAAACGTTGGGCCAATGAGGGGCAAGGAGGGGGGCGGCAGTTGCGGTTGGTTGTTGGCGAAGGGTAGGGGCTGGCTCGGGCTAGTGGACGGCGTACGCAGCATTGCATTAATGCGTATTTCCGGACTCTGGAACGGAAGTCGATTTATGTATTGTGCCGAGCCGCGTCTGAGGACAGTTGGCGACAACATTTTGTTGTCGCTTGGGTTTGTTGGTCGGTCGCTTGTTTGCCCGCATGTGCCAAAAGTTCGTGTCGCTGTCTGTCCCAGAGTCCAGCCGCAACCATGGAAAACAAGTAAAAAACAACGCTGCGCTTGAATGCGCCCGACTGTGCAATACCCTGTGCCCAGTCGCAAAGTAAGATTCAAATAGGTGGGTGGGGGCGTGGCAAAATATAGATCTGTTTACAACTGAACAAAATGCAATAGATATGCAACGAAAAGGAAGACAAATTAAAGCACTCATACCACTGTGACTCTAAAACTGTAACAACAAACAGTGGCCCCCAAAACTGTGACTAAAATGTGACACTTAAACTGTGGAATAACATGGTTTCGTTAACGCTAACTATCAGAGTCATTTCACAAAACTGTGCCTCCAAAACTGTACCTTTTCAACTGTGACTTTATATTGTATGTCATGTAGACTTTTGCGATTTGCGGCGCAGAAGTTCAGCTTCAGCTTTGATGAAGTTTGTTAAATGACTCACATAACGTAGATGCTAAAACTGTAACTCTTCAATGTGACTTTCAAACTGAAAACATTAAGGAGAAGCAGAGACTGTGTGCCACTTAAACTGTGCCCAAAAGTGTGAACTAAAATGTGACCACAACTGTGACCAAAGCTGTGACCAAAAATGTGAACAAAGCTATGAGCATAACAGTGACGACAAACTGTGACCAAAACCCAACAATGACTTAATTAATGATGTTTAAATAATAGTGCAATACGAATTGGACAAAGTCGAACCGTGTACCATACACCATACCAATATACCCCAGCTGGCTCTACTTTACAGAGTATAAAAACAGCTGTGATCCTGGCTGCGATGGCCGATGGTCGCATTGTCATGTAAATGGCGCACACGCTTAAATGCTTTAAACTGGCCTCTAATGAGGCCCAGACGCGGCATCTGATGTCTGCCGCCTGGATGCCTAGGATGCTACCCTTGTTTTAATATCCTTTGTGCCCAGTCGCAGGGTATAGGGTCGGTCGGCGGGTCGGTTGGGGTTGGCTGCCAGCTAACTGTCAGTCATTTAATGGCTTACCTTATCTTCAGCTTCCTCGGCGCGTTCTTCCGCTTCGATGACGCGTTGCTCGAGTTCCGTTAACTGCAAAATAAGAAAGTGAAAAGCGTATGAATATGTGAGTGCGAGAGAGAATTAGAGCGAGAGAGAGCGAGGAAATGTTCGTAAATGGTCTTCAAGTTACTTAATCGACGGAAATCATGTGCAAATAATCGAGTGGCTAAGTTTATCAGCACATGACACATGAGTTTTATTATTAAAGGTTTCTTATTCTTTTTTTACAATAAGAAAATTAAAGCACAATCAGTCTAGACAATTTCGCAGCTCATCTTAAGTGAAATATTCTGATTTAAGCAAGCTCGACTATAAAATTCTACTAAAAAGCGTCTTTATATTTAATTTCAACTGTTTAACAAGTAGCTAAACTTATTTATTTCATCTTCTTTAAATAAAGTGCAAAGGTGGCAACGCCATGCCAGGTGGCATCACCGTTCCTTGACAGCTGTCACAATTTTTAGCGAATATGAGATAGTTGGCTGTCAAATCAGCTTACAATATCAAGATGTTACAGTATTTGTTAACTTTGAACATAACTATAGGAAGCGCTTGCTCTTTCGCTTTACATCCGTCTGATTGTTCGTAAAATATATATAGGTATAGATATAAATATTGTAGACCGATTAAATCAAGATATTTTGCAAAACAAAGTTTCCCTTAAGAAAACTATTTTCTATCTAATTCTATGCTTAGAGGATTTTGTTTATACATAAGGATCGGGATAAACCTGTAATATCCTATAGACAAGTATATAAAAAGCTTTTTGAATCAATGTGTTCCTTTGCATAAGAAATAAAATAACATTTTCTAACTTAGATTGGAACTTTCAATTACTGAATATTTTTTATTTATTAATTTTTTTAAATTATACAAATATTTTTAAATTATTATTTTGCTATGTTATATTTTGGTTTGTTTTTTTCATATATTTTAAAAATAAATATGTTTGCTTTAAATAATCGTTGGAAAAAGCTTTGACAGGAGCTTTAGAAAGCTCAAGCGTCTAGCTTAGACAACCACCAGCTGCAGCTGAGCCACAAACCAGTGTACAGAATTTCCCAGTATTTGGTGTGGTAAAGTTGTAACAACTGTGTTGAGTTGCGCTTGTCGAGGCACAGATGGCGCCACGAGTGCTGCTGAACGCATTTCGGGCTGAGTCGAGTCGAGCGAAGCTGTCCCACGCCCACAACTGCCTGCTTGCGCCCAGCGCGGCATCCACATCAATCAATCAATCAGTCAGTCAGTCAATCAATCATAGCAAATGACAGACTATTTGCGGTTAGTAAGTATAATGCGCCAGCTAATACAATTCATGGCGAATGCTCGCAGCAGCAGGCGGCAGGCGGAACTGGGGGTTGGATTGAGTGGGGCGAGGGTCGTGTGCTCCATATTGAGTTGACGGCGCCAAAATGTCTGCGGAATAATATACACATAGCACCGGCCAGGCCCCCATTGTTCTTGGCGTGTGCCACACCTTGGCGAGCCGCCGCCCAAAGGCCACTTGAGGCAGCCACAAACAGGAGACGGACGAGGAGGCGGACGCGGAGGTGGTTGGGGTTTGTCAAAGCAGCCCACCAGTCTACGACTAGGCGAGGGAAATGCTAATCTCGCACTTTTAACTGCTCAATGGTTTGCCATTAACAGGGCCCATCACGGATATAAGGGAGCAAACAGACGACCCCCCGGGCCACCCCCCTCACGGAACAGCTTGTGGGTGTGTTCTATGCCGAGGCACTCGAGGAATTCCATCAATTAATCATCAGAGTGGCCCGCGAGCGCCATCAACGTTAAGGACTTGATTCCGCTATATAGAGCTGAGCTGAGCTAACCCTCCCTCCCTCCCCGCTCCTCCCCCATCCCCTCTTAACCGCCATCTATTTGAATGCTTTGGAGTGCATTAATTTCCGCATTTTATGGCATTTAAGTGGCCATTCAGAGCGTGAACTTCAAGCGGCTTCCATTGATTGATGGCTGCCAACCAAAAATATGAAGGAGCTGCCCGCTCCGCCCAAAATAAAAACATAAACAGCAGCAGCAGCAGCAGCAGCAGCAGCAGCAGCAGCAGCTGCGGAAGTGCCGGATGTGGAGCATATGGCGGGGCTGGCGGAGCTAGCGGGGCACCGGAACTCATCGAGTCAACCAGCTTGACTCGGGCGTTTAGCTAAAGGCTTCTCTCAGGTTTCACTTTAGCGACAAGGATAATGCTCACGAGCTGCCAGCAAAATTGGTGCCACAGAGCGAAATTTAATAGCTGATTAAGTCCATAAGTCGATAAATGCAAATTATATTCCTGTTGGGTTGGACTCAACTTTTTGGCAGCCCGGTTTTTGCCTGGCCTGAAAAATGGCATTCAATCCCAATTGGAAATAGCTCTTTTCTAAAGAAAGAAACGGGTTTGAGTTTTGACTAGCTTGGCGGGTTTTAGGTTAAGTTTGAGCAAGTGGATCGGAAAGGAATATTAAATATCAATACTAATAAAAGGCATATCAAGCGATCGGGAGTGCTCGACTAGAAGATACACTAAACACAGCGCCAAGTTACTTTTTTTAAGTTACACACAAATGACAAGTTTGAAGTGTCTAGCTCTTATAATTTGCGAGCTATGCATGTAAAACCATGTTTTAAAATCGATATTTATCGACATTTGAAGACGGGAGTTGCATGAAAGCATGCAGAGATTCATGTAAGGCTTACTTAGGTTAAGATTCGCCTGGACCAAGTCCCGCTTAGAACATTCCCCATTTTCTCCATTTCCTATGGTTTGTTAAACCAAGTCTCAAAATCGATACTTATCGATATTCTAGAAATAGCGCGATGAAATGAATAAAAGAAAGCTTAAGATACCATGTCTCTAAATCGATATTTATCGATATTTGGAAAATTTAACATTTAACCCATAAAAAGTACGGTTAAGAAAATTAAAATTAAGATTAAGTTCAAGATTATATAATAAACTATGTCTCAAAATCGTTAACTATCGATATTATGAAATTGGGAGCGTATTTAGACAAATGATATCATATTCTTGGGAACAGAATTTAAGCAGGCAGCGGAATATTTTATGTCTAATTAGGTTAAGATTCGCCTAGAACATGTTCCGTAAAGAACATTTCTCATTTTAATAATCTTCAATGCACGACATTTTTTTATAAATGATGTTAATTGCAAAGCATTTTGTTCAGTTATCAGAAATGATGGCCAATTTTATCGAAGATCTAGACTCCCAGAGTTGAGCTCTATCCAGAGGCAGCCGACGACGCATTCTATAAACATATTTGTTTTTATTAAGTATACGCAGTGGATTTCATGAAATCGAGCTAGAATTTAGAGAACCATTAAACTGGGCCAGGTGGCGACGCGATTCAGTTCCATGGCATTCACCATGGGATTGCCGAGCTCCTCATCGACGATGACAATTTCCAAGGTGAGCGTCGATACCGCATTCCTGGAGAGTTCCGCATCGGCTGTGTGCCCGATGCAGCAGCAGAAAATGCGGCTCAGAATGTGCCTCCACATGCCGTCGATGCCAAGAGCTGTCGTCCAACTGCTTAGCAGCTCCGGCAAAGCCATTAAATGGCCGCTCTGCGTCACCCAGCGAAGCCATCGGAGATCGTCTAATCGGATCAAAACAGCTGTCAGTCGACTGTCAGTCAACTGTGTTGCTATCAGCTGGAACACTTAATCACGGCCAGCCGATGGGGCCGATGCTATAAAGAAGGCGGCACGCCTGGACTTGGCAACCAGTTGCACTGCGAGATGTGCACCAGCCTGGGCAAGTTCTTCAGCTGCACCCAAGCGGCCGAGGAGGAGCGCGAGCACAGCAGACAGGATGAGCAGCAGGGCTACAATTTTGATGAGCGCCACAGGCAGCAGCTGATGGCGCTGAGCAATCTCAGCGCCGAGGCAATGGCCCAACGTCGACGCCCCATGCGGCCCAAGCAGCCGCCGCCGCCGCTGCCTCAGTCGCAGTCGCAGTCGCCAGCTAGAGTAACTGGACTGACAAGCTGGCAGCGGGAGCGGGAACGGGACAATTGCAATTCGTATACGGCCATGGAGCGGCATGATCAGATCCTCGAGGACAATGCGGAGCAGCTGTAGTCAGACGGCGGGCGGCGGGCAGCGGGCAGCAGACAGAGCCAGAGGCAAGGCGAACAGAGCGTAGTTATATAATACATATATATGAATATACACATTAAAGAGCAACATGGCAAAAAGTTAAACAAATGCCCCAATGGCTCATCAATATTGTGAACAGGGTGCGGGGCGGGCTGAGCTTCGGTTTGGCTTTTTGGGCCAAAAGTTGTGGCAGCCAAAAAGCTAATGGATTAGGCCAGAAAGTGCGAGTGTGCTCGAAAGTTATGCGAGGTTTGCGTGCGTGTAGGCAACCAGCCAGGCGGGGGAGGGGCAGCTGCCAAGGTGTGTCCCGGCCACACACACACACACACACACACACACACACACTAGGCAAGTGTTGCCTCTGGCTGTTTAATTATAGGCGCTGCTGCTGCCAATTGGCAACTTAATTGGACCTTTTGACCAGGCTTTAAGCAGCTACGTTTGTACCTAATTGCTGGGGCGTTTCACAGCCAGTTTTTGTTGTTGTTGTGGCTGTTGTTGCTGTTGGTGGTCATAACGCAGCTCATAGGGACGTGCTATTTGGGTGTCAACTTTAACTTTGTAGTTAACTGCCGAATGGCAAACACAAAACTCATTTGCCAGCCACGAATGCAATTTGCTACAAACAAATGGCCACAAGCCGAGACAGAGACCGAAATGGAGAGCGAGAGGGAGAGAGAGAGACAGAAAGACAGTCGGCCAGCCAGTCAGTCAGACAGGCGGCTGCTTGTTGCCGCAAACAGTTGGCACAGAAATGCAAGCATGTGGGCGTTTATTCGAATCATTAGTTGCCCAAAATCAACTGCCTTTTGTCAATGATAGGTGTCAAAAGACACAAATTCACTGCAAGTCTTTTGCCGGTTACATGCTAAGGCTGCAGTGTTGCAAAGTGCATTCAGCTGCTAATAGAGAAGAGTTTTCTAAATCATTATCATTATCATTATCATTATCATTATCATTATCATTATCATTATCATTATCATTATCATTATCATTATCATTATCATTATCATTATCATTATCATTATCATTATCATTATCATTATCATTATCATTGTCATTGTCATTGTCATTGTCATTGTCATTGTCATTGTCATTGTCATTGTCATTGTCATTGTCATTGTCATTGTCATTGTCATTGTCATTGTCATTGTCATTGTCATTGTCATTGTCATTGTCATTGTCATTGTCATTGTCATTGTCATTGTCATTGTCATTGTCATTGTCATTGTCATTGTCATTGTCATTGTCATTGTCATTGTCATTGTCATTGTCATTGTCATTGTCATTGTCATTGTCATTGTCATTGTCATTGTCATTGTCATTGTCATTGTCATTGTCATTGTCATTGTCATTGTCATTGTCATTGTCATTGTCATTGTCATTGTCATTGTCATTGTCATTGTCATTGTCATTGTCATTGTCATTGTCATTGTCATTGTCATTGTCATTGTCATTGTCATTGTCATTGTCATTGTCATTGTCATTGTCATTGTCATTGTCATTGTCATTGTCATTGTCATTGTCATTGTCATTGTCATTGTCATTGTCATTGTCATTGTCATTGTCATTGTCATTGTCATTGTCATTGTCATTGTCATTGTCATTGTCATTGTCATTGTCATTGTCATTGTCATTGTCATTGTCATTGTCATTGTCATTGTCATTGTCATTGTAGCGTGTTCGTTCAGTCTGTTACAAACACTTGCCCAGCTTTGTTTTAACCGCTTTACTCACTGTCAATGGATGCGGGGTATTCAGAATATACGAATCAAATGCAAATATCAATTACTTCTTAATTTAAACAACATTTGCAGATTTAATTATTCGTTAAAATACAACAATTTTTAAGGCTTGACAATTTATGGTATTTTTTGGTTTACAGTTTATTGTGATTAGTTTGTAGAATATGAATTTCGTGTTTGTTATTGATAATTCAGTTGGAATATTTTATGAGCAAGATATGTTTGTGGATGTCACAGAATTAAACAATTAGTGCCAGAGGCAATCGAATATGCGGTGAGAAGCCTTTGTTAGCATTTGACATGCGGATTAATATTTCGTGCTATTACATTTCTATCCATTTCATTTGTGTTTATTTATCTTTTGTGTGAGCTTTTTATTTATTTATTTATTATTTATTTATTTTCACTCTTATTTACTTTATATGCGTATTTTATCAGCTGTCTCCAGCCCATGTGTTATTATATTTGTTTTAATTGCAAAAAGTTAATTTAAAATTGTTGTAATTGAATTTGATTGTTGTTGTTGTCGTAGTCTGGCCATAATGACATTTGGGCTCTGATTAATATTTGGCCATTTGGTTATTGTCAATAAAACGCAATTGGATAATTGAGTGCTTTAATTGAAGTCCACAGCTAAATTGCTTAATAAATAAACAAATACATCTACATAATGAATAGCCTCTTAAACTAAATAATCAACTCGGGCAGGCGGGGATCATCGTAGCCCAGGTCATCGTCCAGCCCCAGCTCCAGCTCCAGCTGCAGCTCCAGATTCAGCACCGAGTCATAGTCGGCGCCCATCCCGACTGGCAGATCAGTTGACGTCTCATCCGTATTGCTGCCCGGCGTCTGGCACACAGCAGCCAATGGCGTGGGCGTGGCAGCTGCTGTGGGCGGCAGTGACAGTTGGGCTGCTGTTGCCGCTGGGCTGGGCGGATTGAGCGCCGGTTGGCCCAGTATCGATTTGCGGCACTTGAAGAAATCCAGAAGGAGGGAGAGCAACATTCTGGCCGCCATTGCTGATCGAGACGCACTGAGAAATAGAACCTGGTCTCAGCTGCATTTTAATGTAAGCCCCAAAGCACTTTGTTTATCTATATGTGGTTGTTGTTCCTGTTGTAGCTGTATATCGATTGATTTCAGCTCTAAGCGTCCCAACTGTATCGGCAGCTGCTTTTCACCCGATTGTTTGTAAACCACTAAACAAAAGTGTCGCACTGACACTAGGCGAAACTTTACTATTCTTAACGCTACGTTTCTTCGTATTGGAACACATAAAACTGTGTGTTTCAATGCACTTCAGCACGCTGACTGATATTTTAATCACACAAAACAGACACATTCTTATAGAGCACATAATTAAAAAAGCTTTTACAGCGCATTTAAGCTCTTAAGAGAATTAAAATAAAAGCTTTTTGAATGAAAGTTGTTACCATCAGCTTGTAAAGCACATGAAAATTGAGTGAAAGCTGCTGTTTAACGTTAGATTAAAGAAGTAACTATGAAAATGTTTTTTGTATTTATTAATGAAGTAAAGTGAAAGCTTTTACTGTAGACAAAATAAGAATAGCAAATTTTTAGTCATAAAAATTCGACACTTCACATAAATTTAAAGCCTAAAGCTTAATTGGCCATTTGCTAGCAAATATCACATTAAACCTTTCCGAAATTTAAACTCAACAAAAACGCTCGATGTCACATATAGTTAACTGTTAAAGCTCCGCTGAAAGCGTATTAAAGCTTAGCGAGCTAAAGCGCATTGAAGCTACCCTAAATGAAAGCTCAACTTAGAGCACATTGAAGCTATCCGAAGTGAAAGCTCAGCTGCAAGTAGTTTTTTTTTACCACTTTCAGCGAGTGTCATTTGCAATTGCGCTGAATTTGAAAATTAAATCAAAACCGAAGCGTATCAATTAGCGCAACAAATGTTGGCAACGGCCCATAGATAGAGCCAGGCTGGCGGCTGAAAGGCTGGGTCGTAGGGAGGGAGGGGGTGAGGGTGGGTGCGTCTCTTGTAATGAACAGTTAAGCATATGGCAAATTTAATTAAAATTAAATGCAGCCTGCACGAGTCGCTTGTTCTGGCATTATGAATAATAAATAAATACATAAATATTAATGCAATATACTTATGCATTTATTCAATATATTCAAATTTATGTACACACACAGACACACACATAGACATGCACATGCACAACAAATGCATTATATAATTACATTTATGCGCGCGCCCATCAAATTGAATGGCTAACACATTTGCATAATGCACTCCCCCTCCACTGCAGACCCCCCTCACCATCCACTCAGCTCCACCCATGCGCATTCACAACAGCTGCTTTTCGTTTTAAAATTGTATTAATGGACCGTCAGGAGGTGGGTCGGAGTGGGGAGGGGGAGGTGGAAAAGGGCTGTTGCAGCGGTAAATGGCGCGTAGCACGCTCATCGTTTTGCTCACTTTATTTGTTGGTTTTCTTCTGTTTTTTTACTGTCTTTCCCTCCTCTGCCTTTTTCCACTGTCCGTCCCGGCGGCGGCTATTTTAATTAAGGGACGGCGCGCAGGGATTGGGTCCACTTGGTGGACGCCAAGTGAAGGGCCACGCAGTGTAAAACAGCTGCAGCTTTATGACTGCAGCATAAATTAAAATTTACAAAAATTGCTTATTTTCAATTATGAATGAAATATATTACTTGCAATTATTTCGCTTAAGAAATCGCTGCATTATAAATCAATCAAGTAAATTCACCCACAAGCGTGGAAAGTGAGTGAGAATCGGAATTGCTTACCACATATTTTCGAAGTGAACCACATTTTCGTTTTCTTTCAAAAATAGTTTGTTTAAAAATATTAAAGTCATGAATGAAATAGTAAAAAATATATGAGAAGCCAAGGTGGAAGCATGCCAGGTGTTCTGGAAGTGGAAAGTGGATTCACGAACCGAGCCTGAAAGCAGGGAACTGGTTCAAATCGAAGGCTCAAACATTGCCAAATTTATTTTATACTTGCAGCTCCGATGTGAACAAACATTTTAAACTATTGAACAAGGCGTCTTTTTGGAATATTGACAATTCCACCCGCATGGTCGAAAAATAGGTGGAAAATTAAGCTGGCCAGGCAGAATCAGCCATTGCTCATAGCACATTTATAAATTGATATCAGTTGAGTTGGCTTTTCGACCGTCAAATGCACAACTGCAACAAATGCCATTAAAACTGCATTTTTTTTGTTTTGTTTCTATTTGTGGCAAAACTTTAAGCAGGCCAACAGCGTCGCGTAGGCAATTGGTGTCAATTGCATCAAGGCCAACAAACAAGCACACAACTAACACACACGCGCACACACGTACACGCACACACGAACATTCCTCTTAGCGACAAGCCGCATGTTTTTAGGCCATTAACCCATCGAAAAAGTGTGGAAGGGTATAATGTTCTTGTGCAAATGTATGTAACAGGCGGCAGGAGGCAGTTCAGACCCCAAATATGGTATATATGTTCCTATCCATCTGTATAAACGCGTCGATCGCGATAACTTCAAGAGCTTAAAACCTGGAGTTTGAAATATATATTTCTGTGTACGATACGTAGAAGGAGTTTATCATACTTTACGACATGTTCTCCCATTTTCGTAGCGATAAATATCGATTTGAAGACATGGTATTCTAAGACATGGTATCTTCAAGTCGGACGCACCCGACTAGCGCACTTTTGTTTGAATATGTACATTTACTTGAGCAAGTTATTAACAAAAGCCGTATGTTGTTGACTTTGGGTCAAGTACGTCACGCGGAATGGCAGCAAGTGTTTGCCCAAAAATGTAGGCTAACTGGGGTTAAGGTGCCTCATTAACCAAATCGTACAACTTTAAAGGCGACTGCAGGTGCAACTGGAATTGGCCAGCTGAGCTAATTAAGATGCGGCAGCCGAAAGAGTCTGGTTAAAGGCAGCGCAGGGCGTGGTCGCCTGACTTGTTAAGCAGCTCAGCTCAAATTGACACAAATTGGCGTGGGGCAAGTACATCATAGCAATCAGATTATCAGCAGCAGCAGCAGCAGCAGCAGCAGCAGCAGCTGTGGCAGCTGTGGCAGTGACAGCGACGGCAATTCCTCTTGTCCATGTTGTTCATCATGCGCGACGTTCTCTCCTATCGTTGCGACTATCAACTTACTTAAGGCGTCTTGCAACATGACCACCCCCCGCCCCGCCCCGCCTCCTCACCCTTTCCCTGTTATAGCCTGACAGGCAACGTGCTGCTGTCTGCAACGCAATTGAAGGCAAGACACGCAACGCTTTGCAGCTGCTTTCAATCATGACGCACGGATTAGGACTCAGGTTAAAGATTAACAAAGCCAGCAGCAGCAGCAACAGCAGCAGCAGTAGGAGGCGGGTCCGGGTGCGGGGGCGTGGCATGGCTACAACGGCTTCTTCTAGTTAGTCAGTTAGTCAGAAGCTGGCGTCACGCCCACCATTAGTTTGCTCTGCGGCATGACAAAAGCTAAGCCGATTGGCAGCACCAGCAGCAAAGCTTTTCCCAAAAAAAAAAAAAAAAAACAAACCGCTTGAAGCAATTAGGTAAAGCGTAAGACAACCCGAAGCAAAATTTAAGGAATACCAGCCATATCTCTGTGTTCAACTTGAAAAGCTAAGGTACAAAACACAAGGAATATATTAAAATCAAAAGAAATCTCTATTGTGTTCTACCTGGCCCAGAATAATCTATTTCAATTCAAGGGATTGCCCCTAATATGAAAGACTGAGCATAATAACTAATATGTTAGACTTAGATACTTGCTCGGCATGCAATTTGAATAAAGTACTTCGAAAAATGTAAATAATTTTAAAATGTTTGTTGCATTTCTTAAATTTATTCTACAGAATACCCCTGATGTTTTGGACCTGTGAGTACGTGAGTTAAATTGAATGTTTACTTAGGTAAAAGAATGTTAAGGAATATCATTAGTTTTTAGAGACTTTCAACTTTTTTTAAGACTTAAGGCATGCCCCTAATGTGGTACTTCAAGAGCAATGCTAAATATTAAGCTGAAAATTACAAGCAAAAGTTTTCTTTTACAAATAATATGAAATGGCATCGAGTAAAAGTTGTTTGAATGTCAAATGAAATGAATACTCTATATACTATCCCCATGCATTATTTGATTAAAAATTATTAAACATTTGACTGAATACATTTCTGTCATCTAACTTGAGCAATACACAGAATGTAATCCCTGGCAGATTTCCGAATTTTCTCGAACACAGCTGAACCAGAAAAGGAAATAAAACAAATCGAGTTTATGTCCAAAAAGTTTCAAGTGCTGTTCGAAGCAATTTAAAAGTTCAGAACCTGAGCCACAATTTGTGCCGTCTATTATATACATATTCATATATATATATATATATATATATATATATATATATATATCTCATATTGAGCAAGATATTTGTGCTTATATTTTGTGAATATTGCGATTTTTAAGAAAAATGCTAACGAATTTCAAACGAGAGAAAAAAACAGATGAGGAGCAGTTGGAGCACTTGGAACTGAAACAATGCAAAAATGAGTGCATGAATAAATGAATGAGTGACTGGCAGAGGATAAAGAAGTGGAAGAAGTAGAAGAAGCAGACGCTGCAGTCTATTAGCAGTTGATAGCCGTAGTCCCAAGCACTTGCGGCCAAGAGTGTTAAAGATAAAGGCCCCAAAAAAAGAGAGAGAGACAATGCAAAACAAAACAAAATAAAAAGCCCAAACAATTTACAGGCGTGCGCGCAATCAGATGGCAAGAATAGCAATTAGTGCATACTTTTAGGCTTTGGAGCGTCAAGCAAAACATGGAGAGCGCCTCAGAGAGAGAGAGAGAGAGAGAGAGAGAGCGGGAGACAGCCCAAAGCGCAAATGAAAAGACGCGCGTGCAATAATCACTGCCAAGTGCTGCATATTTATAGGCGCAATCAAGTTAATTGCGCAGAGAAAACCAGAAATGCTGCAAAAGAGAAACAGAAATAGACGCAGATAACAGACACAACAGCAAACAGCAGCAGCAGCAACAACAACAACAACAACAACAATAACAGCGAGAGTGCCATTGGAATGCTTAAACAAAAGCAAGACAGCAACTGTTAATGGACTGCGACTTGAATGGCAGCGTGCAAGAGGAAGGTGGAGGAGGAGGGGGGGGGGGGCAGTCGCTTTTAGGTAGCAGCAGAATAACTGCTTCTTAGGTAAATAATGTGTTCGTTTTACATCTCCCTTTTTTTTTTTGCATTTTATTTGTTTTTATTCTACACCCTGCAGCTATCAAATGTACAAAACAGCGACAAGGTGGCAACGCCGCAGCCATAAGTCATTTATAACAGCGTGTGTCCATATGTTTATCAAATGAGTCTATAGATAAATACGACAGGTTGCCATTTAGGATAATGGTAATGGTATTTGGTTAATCTTAAACAACTTCACAATCAACACAGAAGATACTTTAAAAATTATAAAAAAAAATTGAGCGCAGAGATTTCAAATAGAGAAACTGAAAGATTATGTTAGAATAATCCAGCACAAGACTATTCAAAATGGAGATTAAAAAGAGTATAGCAAATATAGATTCTAGGCGATACGAGCTATTCGCCAGAACTATTTTAGATACTGCACATGTAAGATTGGCCGGATAAGTAGCTTTGGATGCATATAGTTTACACTGAAGGTATATAGCATAGTCGACAGATTTGATGCGATTTTGTCGGTACATAAGGGAAAGCTCGTCAAGATATTGTGAAAAAAAAACAAAAAGTTGTTCATGCAAGAATTGAATCTCTGACCCATTCTTCATATGGCAGCTATATATTAGACTGAACCGATCCAACCAAATCTTATTTCGCTGCCCTACACACTAGAACATAAAACAAGCATTGATAGAATGCATCTAGATGATGGCAATTTCCTTTCTTTTTTTTCTATGCTAATTAGCTTAATTGTGGTCATTTAGTAGGTCCTTTTTTTCTTGTATGCCTTGTCAAGTGGCAGCCACTCGTAATTGCCACTCAAAGTTCAATGCAATATGCAAGCTGCGACACGGCGCCGTTAAGTATGCAATAATATTTTTCTACTTTTGCCAAGCGGCAAGTGGCACTTGAACTTGTCCACTTCAGCTGGCCGTGCGGCCAAGAATTATGCAACAAGACGCTGCCAAAGTCGAGTCGTGGCAAAAAGCCAAAAGCGAAGCAGAGAAAAAAAATAAAACACAAACTTTTGACTCAATTTACGATTGGTTCAGGGTGGAACGTTGTGTGTGTGTGTGTGTGCGTGTGTGTGTGTGTGGGTGGCGGGTTGTATTTTAAGCTTAACGCGACGCATTAGAAAATTAGCCAGCGAATTAATGAGCAAGAGAGAAGCTTAAGAAGCAATCCTCCCCTCTGCCCTGGCAAGCAAGAAATCTTTTAATAACAAAATTCGCGGCGCTTTAGTTGTCCGGCAACGCTGTCGCAAACGCACGACCAGTCAAATTGCATAACAACTTTTGTTGTAATGCTCTATGCCCCATGCCCCATGCCCCATGCCCCCAATGACTCATTCTGGGGATCCGCTTGCGGTGAATTTCAATTATCCCAGATGCTTCAGTCCGGATGCCTCTGCACATTTTCATTTTCATTTTCATTTTTGGTTTTCATTTTGTTGTTTTCATTTTTTTCTTTCGCCTTTTAAGCCTGCGCCTTGTATTTCATTTTCAGTTTTATGCATGAGACGCCGCCTAGTTTTTCATGCTCATTCCGCAAAACGCAATCTCATTTTTTTTTTTTTGGTGTTTGTGCTTTTGGCCCGCCTTCACTTTGTCTACATGTTTTCTTCTTCTCTTTTTTTCCGTTATTTTTGCCGTCCATTTGCGCTGTAAATTGTTTGCATACAATAGAGCAACGCCCAGTGCCCCCGAACTAGTCCTAGTCCCAGTTCCAGTTTCATTTCCGGCTTCAGCTCCCCACTCTCCCTCTCCCACCCCCTCTACCGCTTCCCTTCACACACGTCCCAGCCATTTGTTGGCCTGGGCAGGGTCTTAACTTTTGGCGCGGCTTATTTGTGCGGCTAGATTAAGTTTCAAATTGATGGGCATTTCAAAATCCCTCTGTGAGAGAGTGGACCGAGGCGGGCACAGGGACCCCCCCACCCCTCCCCCTTGATGAACAAGCTTCAATTTGATCAGCTCTGGCTCTCACCTCGCGCAGTCT